CAGCTAAAAGGACCGAACAAAAAAAAAAAAATCAATATTTGTGATAGAATCTGAGTCAATCATAAAACCTGATCATTAAATAAAACTCAGATTAATTTAAACAAAAAGAGAAAAATGAAATGAAACAGGAGTCCAGATGTTTTCAACCTGAACCAGATGAGAAAGTTCTTTATTAAAGCAAAACATCTTTAACTGAAAAATATCCAGCAGACAAAAACCAACAAATAAAAACTAAACTTTAAGTCCAAACGGACTTTTTCTCCCGATAATCTTTTAAAACTTTTCTTCAGGGTCCACTTCCTCATATTGCATCGACTCAAAGGCCACGTCTGATTATCAGTCAGCCGGTCCAAACTAAACTAACCATCCGGCACCGGACCGCCCACAGCAACCAGCTGGTTCTGATGGAACCACACGGGTTCCTTTAGACCAGGTCTGAAGAAAACACAGGTTCTGTCCAGAACCACCAGAACCAACAGACTTTATTCTTCCAACCTGCCGTCTGCTTACAGGCTGGACTCAGTTTAACATCTGATCTGACCGTCCTGCAGAACCTGAGCAGATCAGCTGTCTGGTTCTGGTTCTGGTTCCACAGAGAAGAGTCCTGGTCGGGAATCCTCCCTCCTTCAGAAAAAACAAGTCCAGCTGACTGCTGGTCAGGGATCAGAGCCCGCCTCTACGTCTGACCTGAGAGGTAAACCTGCAGGAGGCAGAGCAGGGGGCGGAGCATGAGGGGGTGGAGCAGGAGGCAGGGGGCGGAGCATGAGGGGGTGGAGCAAGAGGCAGGGGGCGGAGCATGAGGGGGCGGAGCATGAGGCAGCAGGGGTGCCACACCTCAGGGAGACAAACTGAAATCCCTTTCTTCCATTTAATTTAATATTTTCAGTTTTTGAAAGAGTTTCTGTAAATTAAACGTTTGTTGTTGTAAAAGAGACATTTAATCAAAGTGTTTCAGTTTCTGACGTCCTTCTGTCTGAACAGGTTTTACCTGCTGATAACTCAGGTGTTTCAGGAGAAGTGTTGCATCGTGGGTAAACTGAGGCAGCAGCTGCTCTCACTTCAAACAGAACCTGGACTTTGGATCAGAACAGAACCAAACCACAGCTGCAGGGTTCTGCTCTGCACAGACAGGAGGCTGCAGTAAGAACAGATCTGATTGGACGAAGTCGCTGAGTAACGGATGAACAGGAGGCCTCAGACAGTCGATCCGGACACACACACACACACACTCAGTTGTCATGGAAACAGCTCCGCCTGTAGATGGGCGCGTTGATGCTGTGGAAGGCCGGCACCCAGCGGTTGTCATGGAGACCCACGTTGCAGCCCGGCGCGTCCCTCCGGACGCCGTGGCAACACATCCAGTAGCCCGGCCCGTAGGGCAGCGCCTGGCAGTAGGGCTTGTGGTGCCAGCGGCACAGGGACACGTCCCCGGGCCGGTACCGCCTCTTGCACTGCTTGCAGGGGTCGTCGCGGTACCGGGGGTCCGACACCCAGAGYGAGTCGGCGGGCCGCACGCCGTAGGTCTCGACGACCAGCTTGAAGTAGCTGCAGGTGCAGGTGAGCGCGGCCAGGCTCTGGGTGGGCAGCAGCTGCAGGATCTTCACCAGCAGGTGGTGCGGCAGCACCGACAGGTACGGCTGCGGCGCCAGCAGCTGCTGCAGCCGCTGCCGCAGCTCCAGGAAGTCCCGGGACGCCGAGCCGCTCCGGCCGAGGGGCGCCGCGGGGGGGCAGGTGGTCCCGCACACAGMGAGCTTCTCTGCGGGGTGGGCGGAGTCATGGGGGGAGGCGGAGTCACAGGGCAAGGCGGAGGCAGAGTCACAGGGGGAGGCATGAGACGGGGTGGGCTCAAAGTAAAAGCTTGTTTTGTAGTGGGGGGCGTCGGCCTTCTGCGGAGGCTGAGACACAAACAGGAGGCCAGGCAGTGGCTCCGCCTCCTCAGACTGAAGAGGAGGGGCTACAGCCTCCTGAGGCTCCGCCCCCAGCTGACCTGACTGGGGCACAGTTACCTCTGGGGAGGRAGCAGCCTCTACCCTGAGCGTCTGAGAACAGCTGATTGGCTCCTGGCCCCGCCCCTCAGACAGTGRTGATGATGATGATGGTGATGAAGGCTGGCAGGAAGTGAAGTTCTGCTCCGGGGAGGCCAGCAGGACCCGGCCCACGGCCCTCCTCAGGCTGTTGTTTCTGGACAGACCCCCCTCCGTCCTCCTCAGACACTCGGACTCCAGCCGGGCCACCATCTGGGACACGCGCACCGKCTCCAGCTCCTCCTCCTGCCGGACCTGGACCCGGATGGTTCTGGTCAGCGTGATGGTGGTGGAGCTCCTCTGGAGGGTCAGCAGAGGTTTCAGGTCTGGCTTCAGCTCATTYGCCCTCTGCTCCAAGATGGCCACCATCTCCACGACAGAAACCTTCGGCTCCTCCTCTGCCACTGCACCACCGCGCTGCTCGCCGCCTGGCGGTCCGGTCGGGTCCGTCGGAGCCGGTCTGAGGACCTGCTGCTGTTCATTCAACAAGTGGGTCCTCTGGTCCTGCTGGAGGTTCGGGTTGTTCCCCGACCTGCGGCGCCTCTTGGCAGAGCTGTTTTCCTGCCAGCTGCCTTTAGCTTTAGCGGCCCGCGGGGATCCGGTCAGAGCGGCGCCGGTGGTGCACGCCGTTTCTTCTCGGTCCCAGCTGGTGGCGCCGCTTCCCGATGTCATCTCAGCTCCGTCCGTTTGTCTGTCCTCTGACGTAAAGATAGCTATCTTCTCACGCACGTGTCCCGGTTTTATGACGGTCCACACGTTCTGCGGACTGTCCGTGTCCTCGGTGGTCTGAGCCGGTCCAGGTGTGGTGTTCTCGCAGCCAGGTGGAGGGGCGGGGCCACCGCGTCCTTTCAGACAGACTGAGGTCACGTTGCTGCAGCGGAGCGTGTTGGTGGAGATGATGCTGAACGGGAGGCGGGCGGTGCCAGGGGAACCGCTCACCGTCCTCAGCAGCGCCCCCTGCTGGCCCCGCTGGGACAGCGCCTGAACGCTGGCGGCGTCCAAACACAGCTCAGACCGCATGTGCTTCGGATACGACTTCAGGTGCATGATGGACCTGAAAACACACAAATAATCACGTTTTACTTAAGTTTACAGTTTGACAGAATTCATCCTGATTCATTCAAGATGGCCGCCGCAGCTACTCCACCTTAGCAAAGAGAAATAGATATAATTCTGTCAGTTTTACAGCTGAAACTAGCTGAGCGTCATCCCATCACACTTCACAGGAGTAGACTGTTGTCCTTTACAAAGACTCTCCAGACAAACGTGATTTATCAGTTTGTTCTGCAGACGGTTCAACACCTGTTCTCAGGTGGACAGGTGGACAGGTGTGGGATTAATCTTATGCCAGCAGGAATGGAATCTGAATGTTCATAATTTGAAATTAAATTCATTGGTTTGAAAATAAATTTCACTAAATTGAAACTGAATTTAATTTTTTGAAT